TAGATCATGTAACAGTATCTAACTTAGTTACTCCCAATACATAACAGTAACTCTAGTGACCATAGATCATGTAACAGTATCTAACTTAGTTACTCCCAATACATAACAGTAACTCTAGTGACCATAGATCATGTAACAGTATCTAACTTAGTTACTCCCAATACATAACAGTAACTCTAGTTACCCTAGATTATATATCAGTAACTAACTTAGTTACCCCAATTCATAACAGTAACTCTAGTGACCATAGATCATGTAACAGTATCTAACTTAGTTACTCCCAATACATAACAGTAACTCTAGTTACCCTAGATTATATATCAGTAACTAACTTAGTTACTCCCAATACATGACAGTAACTCTAGTTACCCTACATCATGTAACAATAACTAAAATTGTAGTTTCTCGAAATAAACTAACTAGTATACTCCAGGTCTTGTATTTGGACCTTTCTTCACCATTATGTTAGTATAACCTATGTTTTGTATTTGGACCTTTCTTCATTATTTTGCTAGGATACCTAATGTTTCTTGCTCATTATACTAGTATGCTTCATATTTTTTTGTGAACATTTCTTGTTCAATATGTTTTCTGTGTGAACTTCTCGTGATAATTATACTGGTAATTTCCATGTATTCTCTGTGAATGTTTTTTGTTCATTATTAAATTATACTCTATGTTTTATTTGAAGTTCTATCTGTTTTTGTCTCTTACTTTGTATGGAGTATATTGTGTAAGAGTTTGTTATCCTTTTGATAAAATTATGTATGTAAAAATTTTTTCAATAAAATAAAACTTCCTTAAACTATTAACTCAGACCAATATCTGACTGAAAAAGCAGAACCATAAAAATTCTGAACCTTTTCTTGTTGTAGGCAGAAATAGGGTTAAAAAACATATAAATGATAATAATTTATTTGAAAATATAACTCTACCTTCTGACATTTTATTTAGATGTCCTTATGGGCTACAATGGGACAATTTTTGCTTATGGCCAGACTTCTAGTGGAAAGACACACACTATGGAGGTAAGTAATATATTTTTATAAGCTATATTTTTAATTTTTTAATTTGTTTGTTAGCTAGGGGGAACTGCAGGTATTAGTTTAATAAGATAGGCCTAGAAAGTTCTAAGGATGTTGGGTAAATTTTTTTTCTAGTACTTTCTAAGCTAGGTTATATATACAAGATAGTTGTAAAGTGTGTAGAGTTGTTTCACAATAGTGTGTTAACTTATGCAGTTACTTTGTGTAAGCTTATTGGTTTGGTTTTACATTAGTTCCAGTATTTTTAGAGACTTTTGAATGTTATTTGTAATGTAGGCCTATGACAGTTTATGACAGTGTACAAGTGTTCAAGCTTGTAAAAACATTAAAGGAGGAAATAGTGTAATTTTCTCTCATCACATGGACTGAATGTTGAATTATTTTTACCAAATAGTTTTGAAAGAACCTGTTCACAAAATAACATTTTAACAGTATGTAGAAGACATAACTTTTTATATGAGGTTTTAAAGAACAGTGTGATAACTAACGTAAATGAACTTATCTGTGGCATAGTTTTTACATAAGCATAATGCCATGGAAAGTACTGTTCATTTCACATGATTTGACTTGTTCTCAATATATTGTCATTGATGTGGTGAGTTTGTTGCTGTGTAGTTCCTAATATGAAACCATTTTTTATGGGATTCTTTCAGACAAACTATGACTGGTACAGTTGGGATATAACTAAGTGTGGGATAGGATGTATTTGTGTTATTGAAACTATTTTGATATTTAATCAGACTGTTTTACAACTTATCTTTAGTAGACAACATGTAGCATGTAGAAATTTGGCTAATGATCACAATATTAAGACATGAAGTAAATGAAGAAATCTGTTGAATAAACTTGACTAAATGTGATTAGAATAAGACGTAAAGTTGATGACGTTTCTTGATTAAATGTCATGAGAATAAGACGTAAAGTTGATGACGTTTCTTGATTAAATGTCATGAGAATAAGACGTAAAGTTGATGACGTTTCTTGATTAAATGTCATGAGAATAAGACGTAAAGTTGATGACGTTTCTTGACTAAATGTGATTAGAATAAGACGTAAAGTTGATGACTTTTCTTGATTAAATGTCATGAGAATAAGACGTAAAGTTGATGACTTTTCTTGATTAAATGTCATGAGAATAAGACGTAAAGTTGATGACGTTTCTTGACTAAATGTCATGAGAATAAGATGTAAAGTTGATGACGTTTCTTGATTAAATGTCATGAGAATAAGACATGAGGTAGATAAAGAAGTAACTGTAATTAGTTGATAATATGTGCCTTTTTTACGAGCCATTTATCCATAGTGGACAACTTGTAACATTATTTTAGTTTACCTTTTGCTTTACATATAATTGAAAAATTTTAAAGACTGATCTACCATAATGGAATTTTAAACGTGTGCAAATATTTTAACATAGGTATTAACGATATTCCTGTCATACAAGATTAACGATAATCCTGCCATACAAGATTAATGATAATCCTGCCATACAAGATTAACGATAATCCTGCCATACAAGATTAACGATAATCCTGCCATACAAGATTAGCGATAATCCTGCCATACAAGATTAGCGATAATCCTGCCATACAAGATTAGCGATAATCCTGCCATACAAGATTAGCGATAATCCTGCCATACAAGATTAACGATAATCCTGCCATACAAGATTAACGATAATCCTGCCATACAAGATTAACGATAATCCTGCCATACAAGATTAACGATAATCCTGCCATACAAGATTAACGATAATCCTGTCATACAAGATTAACGATATTCCTGTCATACAAGATTAGCGATAATCCTGCCATATACAAGATTAGCGATAATCCTGCCATATACAAGATTAGCGATAATCCTGCCATATACAAGATTAGCGATAATCCTGCCATATACAAGATTAGCGATAATCCTGCCATATACAAGATTAACGATAATCCTGACTTATTATGTACTCTTTGTTTTTTTTAGGGTATTCTGGATAGTGCTGTGTTACAAGGTATCATTCCAAGAATTGTCAATGACATCTTTAATTATATTTACACAATGGAGGAAAATGTTGAATTTCACATCAAGGTAAGAACAGATTTTAAGGTCAAATTAATGCTCCTTGACATGTGAGTGAACAGATTTTAAGGTCAAATTAATGCTCCTTGACAAGTGAGTGAGCAGATTTTAAGGTCAAATTAATGCTCCTTGACAAGTGAGTGAGCAGATTTTAAGGTCAAATTAATGCTCCTTGACATGTGAGTGAGCAGATTTTAAGGTCATTAATTTAACATTAAAATCTGTTCACTCACATGTCAAGGAGCATTAATTTTTCACTCACATGTCAAGGAGCCAGATTTTAATGTT